GTGGGCCTGGGTGCCAGGGAAGATGGTTGTACCCTCAACAGTAATAAGGAATTTTGAAAGGGAAGTGTGTTGAGGGTAGGGTAATAGAAAAAGCTCAGATTTGGAAACACTGAAATTAAGATGTCTACAGGACATCCACTTGATGTGTTCAATAGGCAAGTTTGAGATACAAGACTACAGGTCAGCAGAGAGGTTCGTATTGGACAAAAAGAGTTGTGAGTGTCATCTGCATAGGGATGATAATTAAATCCATGGAAACTGATGCCAGCACCAAGTGAAATAGTATCTAGTTGGAAGGGAAAGCAGTCCAGTACAGAGCCCAGTGGGACACTCATGGTTACCAGGAATAACTTGGATAAAGATTCAGCTAAGGATACTGAGAAGGAGTGACCACGGTGAGGTGCTTAGGGGCAGGTACTGTCTTTTATCTTTGTATTTCCAATGCTTAGTACAGTGTCTGACATATAGTAGGCACTAAATAAATATTTATTAACTGATTAAAAGGACATCCTGGAGAGAATAAAATCACAAAAGGTAGACAAAAGTATCAAGAGAAGGGTGAACAACAGTGTTAAAGGCTGCAAAGTGATCAGGAAAGGTAAAGAATGAGAAAAGAACATTAGATTTGGCATCTAAGAAATGGTTAGCAACATTAGTGAGAGAAGTTTCAGTTGAATGATGAGGGCAGAAACTGGATTGTAAAGCATTTGAGATGAGAGAGGAAAGCAAATAGAGGTGACTATTGTAAATGGTCTTTTCCAGGAGTTTATCCACAAAAGGGAAGTGATATATAGGATGATAATTAGAAGGGTAGAATGGATTCAGGGAGAGATATTTTTAAGTATAGGGGAGGCTTAGACATGTTGGTATGCAAGAAGAAGCAGCTAGTGCATAGCGAGATATTGAAGATAAGTGAGAGAATGTGGATAATAGAGGGAGCCAACTGCTGGGGAAAATGTTTTGGAAAGGTATTTTTTGCAGGCAGAGACAGGTTTGGCTTAATATGGAACACACACATCTCTCTATGTGAAGCAAGGGTGGAAGAAGAGACAGTGGCAGAAGGCATCTGAGTGATGTGAGAGCAAGAAAAGGGGAGAAGAAGGAGCTCTCAAGGAATGACCTCAATATTTTCAGTAAAAGATGAGGCAAGGTTCTCAGCTGAGAGGGTGGGTTGGTGTGGGAAGGAATTATGGTTTGAGGGGGGATGAAAATTTTCTGAAGAGCCATTGTGGTGAGTGGGATGAGTTAATTAGAGAATTATAAAAAAGATTGCTTTAGGGCTCCAGGAATAACATTGCTACCTTTGGGGAAAAACTAATTGTTTTTTTACCAGATCAAACCCATGTCGTGGAGAAATACTGGTAGACATTAGTCTGATCACACAGGACTTGGAACTGAAATTTAAAAATACTTTGGAGAATTTGACACTGACCCTTTACCAATTCATTGTCAATGGTACTCTGTGTGATTGTGAAAAGGAATTGAAATGGCATTTTGTACCATGAATTTCATTACTCTGACAACATAGCAAAGCAACTTGAGGAAGAATGAGGTTTTCTGGGAAGTGATTTCCCTGGACCCAGCTTTTGTAGTGCATCTGTCCTTTTTCTTTGATGATGATACAGAATACAATGTTGTCCGTGGTGATGACAGATGACCAGTGTCAGTCTGGGTCCATCTGACCATGGTCTATCATTTTTCAGTTGTGTCTGACCTTTCATGACCCCATTTATGGTTTTCTTAGCAAAGATACTGCAGTGGTTTGCCATGTCCTTCTCAAACTCATTTACAGATGAAGAACTGAGTCAAAGAGGGTAAAGAGACTTGCACAGGATCACACAGATAATAAGTGTCTGAGGCCAGATTTGAACTCAGGAAGATGAGTCTTCCTGACTTTAGACCCGTTGCACTATCCATCGTGCCCATGTCTTCACGGTGTCCCTCTGATTCATATTTGAGTATTACTAGATTAGGTGGTTTACTCAGAGGATATCTGGTAGAGCTTTCAAGTGCCTTTTGTGCTGAAACGATGTTTATATACAGATAGATAGATATAGATATAGATATAGATAATGATATTGATATATCATCTTACCAGAGCTGTTGTGTAAATCCTTGAAAACTCATTTAGGCAAAAGGTAAAACTGGGATCAGTACTTCTCACTTTTTCCCTACATTCCAAAGTGACTGGTACAGCCCTCTCCGGGGTGTTAGAACAATCCAGGGAGGCAGTAGTAGCCTTAGGTGCAGTTGGGAGTGGGTTTTGAATAAAAATAAGGGGGCGCTGGAAGCATAAGGAAAGAAGAGAAGATAAGAAAAATTTTGAAAACTCATTCATACATGTTTAATCTGTTGTGTAACAGAGTTAAAATCATAGAAATTAAATTGTTTTCCAAATAAACACACAAAATGAACGTTATAACCTGTCAGTAGTCAAGTCCACCAACAGGTGTTATCAAGCAAGTGTTGGCAGGCAAGCATGTCACACAATGTTGGGAAGTCCAACATGTATCAGCAGGAAGATATGTGTGTAATCACCTGTTTACTATATGACACTATACAGTTACATGATAAGATATTGCATTATCAAAATGTCAATGTGGGAAAAACCCCACAAATTTACAATAAATTATTACATTTAAGCAGCATCACTTTTAAAAATACATACATTTATTTATATATTTTTATATGATGCAAAGTTCAGGGAAAAAAAACAATAAAGTGTTAAAAATAGATCTACAGGGGGGTGCTGAGTAATTTTTTTTAAAAGGGAGTATTAAGCCAAATAAGTTTGGGAACCCCTGCTTTAGAGAGAGAGTAGGATATAAATAGAAAATTCCCCAAAAATTCAGTTCACGCCCATTAGTACCTGTTAAATGTTCACAAGGTGAAATTGGATGGTTTTTGGAAATGACTTTTCTTTTGACATTGATAAAATAAATTTTCCCCTCATCCTTGTAGTCTTAGAACATCTAGAGGAATGAGAGCACACTAGTGAGATGAGAGTACAAGAGGCAGTAGAAAGTAGTAGATACATTGCTCAATCCTGAGTCGGGAAAATCTGGGTTCACATCCTACCTTTCTAGCTGTGTGACATCAGACAACTCCCATCACCACTCTGGGTTTCAGTTTTTTCTTCTGTAAAATGAGAAGTTTGGACTAGCTGACCTTTTAGGTCCCTTCCAAATCTACATCTCTGATCCTAAATGTGATTTGAGGCAAGCCCCTTTACCTCCTTGGGTTTCATTTTGCTCTCTAGCGTAAGGGATTCAACTAAGTAGATTCTGAGGGTGATCTGAGGCAGAGATTTAAGTTTATGATCCTTTAGAACCATTTGATGTCGAGGTAAAGACTGGGCAAAGATGGAACTGGAGTAGCAGATATGGAACACACAGAAGAGACTTGAAGGAGAGGTTGTGTTCAGGATGGAGTTGTGTTCCAACAGCAAGAACAGTGGGATATGGAGTTAGAGGAGCCAGATTGGGGCCCCAGCTATACTACTTCTACAAAGATTCCATCTAGATTCTCCCTCAAAGTCTGATTTTGAGTACTCCAGGGTAAATTTTCTTTTACACTATGCTTGGGCTTTCTTGATTTGACACTGGAAAACTCATGGCCAAAATTTGCTACTTATTTAAAAAATATCCTTTATAGCTAAGACCAGCCATTTTTTTTTGTGCATATTTCTTCCCGGTTTTGTCCTTATCAGTGGGCTACATTTACACTTTGCCTGGTGCATGGTATCTGGGCATGGTTACCGGTCCATTTCCTTGGGCTCATGTGTTTGGCTATCCTCTGACATGGCTGTCCCTCTCTCATAGATGTAGAAGAGCACGGTCATTGGTCTCCTCAGCTTCTCAGGCAGAGGTGACCTGGGAGAGAGTATTTTGCTGATCCTCAACCCTCCACCACCTACCTCCTGTATTTATTGAGGGGGCTGAGTCATCTAAAGTCTCCATGTTCTAGGCAAGTTTCTGAGAGTACAAATTGCAGGGAGGGAAGGTGTCAGTGGAGAGACTTTCTTTCTCAGGGAGTCCACTACTGACCTCAGGTGTCCAGTCTCTATCCTTGCAGCTGTCTGATCAAGATGCCTTCTTCTCAGTCTCCAGAGACTCCTGGCTAGGTTCCTGGGCCCTCTCAGGGGCTCTGAGTCCCTTAGGCGATGCTCCTTGTGGGTAGGGCAGCATCCTGGAGCCTGGAAGGGTCCCCAGCTCTCTGCCTCAACTCTTCTTCATTCGTGGAGGGAGTTGCCCAGCAGCAATTGCCTCCAGTTTCCAACAACTTAGATGTGGTCAGAGCAGACATGAACGCATGCCTGTAATCCTCCCGGGCTCCTCCCAGCCCATACCTGTTTTTGTCTCCTTGTGCCTGGAGAAAGGAGTCTAAGATCCCCCTCTTCCCCAGACCACCACTTTCCTCCTCTGCTCTGGGGGTTGTCAGGAATCCAAGTCCCATTCATGGGCTGGTGTTCTGCTGTTGCTGCTGAGGCTACTGTGCTGTTCCCTTATGTGGAGCCCAGGACACCCCCACCCACCAAACCATCCACTATCCATGCCCTCCCCCTCTAAATTTTCGGTAAAGGAGCTGACCCCTGATAATGTCAAGGTGAGCATAGTTGCCGCTAGCTCCGTCCTACCCCTCCTTCGACCCAGCAGCCTTCCCTCAGGAATCTGGGACCCTGCTCAGACCTGTGCCCTCCTCCGAGGGGAAGATGCACTGCGACCCCCTCCTTGCGCCAGGCTGCATAATGGGAGTTGAAAGAAAAGCCAGGGAGGTCCCTCCCCCCTCTTCTCCCTCTTTCCTCTCTTCTGGATGGATACTATCCCTTTCCCTCCCGTGACATCACCATGCCCACCCCTCCCATCCTCCACCAAGGTCAGTCCTCTTTGTCTGTGTTTCCTGTCTTCTGGATGGATACTATCCCTTTCCCTCCCGTGACATCACCATGCCCACCCCTCCCATCCTCCACCAAGGTCAGTCCTCTTTGTCTGTGGAGGAGGAAGAGGAGGAAATGGAGAAGGAGAAATAAGTTCCCTTTTCCCACGAATCTGGACGGCGGGGTGTCGAGAGCAGCTGGAGATCTGCCTACCCATAAACCTCTCCCCTTCCCCTCTCCTCCCCTCCCCTCCCCTGCTCAAGGATCCCAGAAGCTCCGCACTGTCCTGCCTTCGTGTGTATGTGGTAAGCCCTTCCCCCTCCTCATTCCGCTGCCCCTCCGCATGCCCCCTTATATTCTCTTCTGGTTCCTCTTCAACCTCCTCCTGAACCTCCCCCTACCGCAAATTGGCTTGTTTTAGTGCCCAAGGAAATGTGTGTGGGCATGGATGGGAGGTTGTGGGAGTATTATTACCTTTGTCTATGCATATGTTGTGCCTGTAAGTAGGATCATGCACGTCTATGTGTATAAGGGTGTACACATATGTACCTATGTGTCTCTGCTCCTCCAGGGCTGATTCCTGCCTGGTGCTTCCTGCCTACCCAGGCCTTTGTCTGGAGGTCTGGGTCTTTACGGTGGGATGGCATGGAGTTCCGAAGGGAAAAGCCTTTGAGGACACTCCCTCCCTCCCTTCCTCAGGTGGAAGTTTCCATTCTTCCATCCGTCATTGCTCCCATCCTTGGCTTGACCTTGGGGCTGGGAAGAAAGGAGAAAGTCTAGGAACTAGCCTCCCCCTTCCCTTCCTCATCCTTAGAGCCAAGAGGGTGAATTTTTCTCAGAAATGGGTGGATAAATCTTTTCTGCCAAAGGTGACTTGGTCCTACAAACCAGCAAATCCGTCTTTTACTGTTTTAATTAAGCAATACAATTCTATCATTCTGGAGGGCACAAATTTCTTCTATCCTTTCCCCATTCTATTTCATTCCATTTAAGGTTTCTTTAAAAGAATCCATATTACAAGAGGTTTCTATTTAGTGGTTTAGGGTAGTAATTTATTAAAAGGTTCCGACTCTGGATATTTAATTTTCTTTCTAGCTTCATCAAAATATTTCTTAAGGATATTTATTTTATCCCAGTGTAAAGAATCTCAAGTTGGCTAATGATGATGGGAGTTATCTGGGATCAGTTTCTTCCAATCAGTTAAATGCCTGTAGGTTTGGGCCCAGAATACAGAGACATACAACCAGGTGCTCTCCATTTGGGGGGGGAGGGGGTGGTAGCTTCAGCATCTTGAAAAGTTTGTTTACTTGAACTTGGCCAAGATCTTACGGTATTCCAGAATTTTTTTTTTATCAAGTAATGTGGACCACCTGAATTAAAAAAATAGGACTTTAAAAAAAAATCCTGACTAAACTGCAAAACCTGGGATATATCAATCCCAATCTGCAGGTTTTTAATCTATCTTCCCCTCCCCCACCCTGCAGGTTTTTTTACTGCATCCCCTCCAGTGGGGTGCCAGCCCTGTGGTGTCCATGCCAGGGTCTACAGCTAGGGCCACAAAGCACCTGAGACTCTAGGAGCTATTCCCCTCCCTTTTTCCACAGCATGTCTTTTGTTTGGTGTCATTTAATTTAATGGTATATTTATTTTTTATTCTGGTTTCAACCAGCATCTGGTGAAAAGGGCATTTCCATATATCCTTGTTGTGCAACATAAAGAGGGTACTGTCCCTGAACCTGTGGATCTCTATGATTTACAGACTGAAAGAAGAGAGTTGTTTTAATGTGCATTTCTCTCTTTATAAGGGATTTGGAGCATCTTGTCATAGGACTATGAATGGCTTGGATTTCTTCCTTTGAAAACTTATTGTTCATGTCCTTGGATTTATTTGAGAATGATTCTTCATCTTGGAAACTGGAATTAGTTCCTACTGTATCTTGCACATGCAACAGTCCTTAGAGAACTTTACCGCAAAGATGTTTTTCCTCCCTTAAATGTTACCCTTCTCATTTTAACTTCATTTGTTCTGTTCATGCAAAAAGATTTTAACTTTCTAGAAGAATTATTCATTTAATTCTCTGTGATCCTCTCCATTGCTTATTCTGTTATGATCCCTCACCCTATTGATAAATGGGAAAATTAATTTCCTCTTAATCCTCTAATTTGATATTGATTCCCTTTTTACATCTCTTTTTTGTATCTCTTTGTATTTAAATTTAATCAGTGCTGTGTGGTGTTGATATCATCCAATTTCTGGCAAACATCTTTTCCTTACCCGTTCTTCTTTTTTTTTAATCAAATAGTGTGTCTTTCCCTGCCTGTACCCCATCCCACACCACCTGCTGAATGTATTGAACACTTTTATTTGTTTGCTTCTATATATTGTGTAGCTAATCTTTTCCATTGGTTAATCTCCCAATTTTTAATGAGTTAAAATTGTTTTCTGAACAGCTAGGTGTCCCACTGGGCTTGAAGTCACAAAGACTTATCTTCTTGAGTTCAAATCTGGTCTTACTTACCAGCTGTGTGACCCTTGAGAAATCACTTATCCCTGTTTGCTTCAGTTCCTCATCTCCACTCCAGTATCTTTGCCAAGAAAACTGGAAATAGAGCCAGGAAACAACAATTGTTTTCACAACCACTGATTTGTAGTATAGTTTGAGATCTTCCATTGATGATCACTGTTAACTAGAGAGGAACCAGTCTCTAACCTGTAAGTGGCCCAGGGTGGAACAAAGCAGGCTAGAGACAGGCGAGTCAGAAATCAAACAGAAGGTTAATTTAAAAGTGAGGAAAATGTTTGGAAACAGAAATCCTCCAGAGAAGAAGGTCTTATGGTTTATTGCAGGAGTAGGGTTTTTATGCATGAAAATCACAAAAGACAGGACCACCACACAGTCATTTTTAAGTCTTGAGTAAACAATTCCCATGTCAGGCCCACGCATGTAGGCATTTTTGTGACAATACTGGCTTTCTTGGATCCTGTGGCAACAGTTCCTAAGTTATTACAATCATTGAGCATTGTGATTGTCTCAATTCTTAGGGGTCATTGAGCCTTGTGATCATTTAGCAGGGTACAGAACCAGAGTAAGCATGGTGGGAACAGGAGTACAGCCCCTGGTTCAGTTCACTTAACAGTTATAAGCACAAGAATACGTCAGAGTGTCAGATGCGATTTATGACTTTCTGCCGCAGGATGTCAGCTACTTAGGTCCCTGGGAAATAGGGAAGCTCCAACAAATCTAAAGAACTATCGATATTTCATAATAATGAAAAGCATAAGTCCCTCAGAGAAGAGCTGGTGCTAGTCAAATCAATACATTTTGCCAGTAGGTGAGATCATCCTGAGAGTGAGTTCAAAGGATTGTTGTTATGACAAGCTCAGGGCACACCTTGCTTGCTGGACATTACCTCTGGAAAACAGGGCATCTCCTAATATCCTGATATCACTAACCCAAAACCCTTTCTTTCCTCCTTCCCCCCCTCCATTATTACCATTGAGATATTTGACCTGTTTTTAAACATTTTTACTGATGTTTTCAGTTTCTTACATCACCAGAGCATCTCATGTATCTCTCCCTCTCTCTATTTTTGAGAGTCATCCCATGTGACAAATACTACTCTTTTTTTTGTTTTACTCAGGAAAGGAAAAATGAGTAGAACTGATTGATGCATTTGGTAAAAGTTGTGCAATGTCTAACAGCTGTGGATCTCTCACCTCCTGGACAGTGTGGAGTGATGGTATCTATTTTCTTTTCAATTGTAATTTATCTTTAACATTTTGTTCCATGCATTTTTAATATTTTGGCATGATATTCTTTCCATTGAAATTATCATAATTATCATGTATATGCACTGTTTTCTTGGTTCTGCCTACTTCACTTTGCATCAGTTCACAAAGAGATTTCTATACCTCCCTGTATTCACTAATCCCTTAATTTCTTTTAAAAAATAATTTATTCATTTGTACGTTTACACATTCACTCCCCCAAGATTTTGAGTTCCAAAATATCTCCCTATGTTTCCCTTACCCCTACCCCAAGATGACATGCATTCTGAATACCCCTTGCCCCAATCTGCCCTCCCTTCCATCACCCCCCCTCCTCTTATCCCCTTCCCTTTCTACTTTCTTGTAGGGCAGGATAGATTTCTATACCCCATTGCCTGTACATCTTATTTCCCAGTTATATGTAAAAACAATTCTTAACATTCATTTTTAATTCTTTTATTTCAAAATTCTCTCGTTTCCTCCCTTCCCACCTACACTCATTGTGAAGGAAAGCACTTCGATATAGGTTATACATGTGTAGTCATACAAAGAACTCTCATAATAGTCATGTTGTGAAAGACTACCTATATTTCTAACTATATTAAATGCTTTAATACCTTTGGAAAAGGAGGTGCTCCTGACAGGTGAAAATTAACCCTGATAGATGAACAATTAATGAGAAGGTGGGCTAGTTCTGCTGAGAACATAGCTTGATTATAAGACTCAACCACCTGTAGCAATCTGGACCACTCTGGTTGGTTTTCTCCTTCATGAGCTGGGTTACCCTCAGCCACAATGGGGGGGGGCGGTGCAAGGGCATATATTAGATGCTTTACGGCTGGATTTCACCTATATTACATTCTGTTTACACTCTGAGCAGAAGGAAAGTTGGTTGAGGTCCTGCCCTAGACCAAGTAACATGTTCCTTGAGGATTTGAAAATTTCATTTATCAGCAATTTCCTTCAGAGACTGACTGACTTAAAGGGGATGGTTCCTGAATGAGGGAATAGAGAGAAAAAGCCCTAATCCTAATTTTATAATTAATTATTAATATAATAGAAAAAATCACTCCTCTCAGCTGGAAGACAGGATTTGGAAGTAGAAAAGCCTTGACTGGAATCCAAGCCCTTCTAGTGAGGGCAATGATTACAGCTATAGTATCATTTGATTTTGTATACTGCAAGGGTTATGGTTTTGTTGTAGTTGTTTCTTTTTACTAGGCCTGGACAGGGCAGTTAGGTGGTGCAGTGGATACAACACTGACCTTGGAGGCAGGAAGACTTGAGTTGAAGTCTGGCCTTACTACTTACCATATGACTGTGGACAAGTCACGTAATCCTTATTTGCATCAATTCTTCATTGCTAAAATGTGAACACTTTGGAGAAGGAAATAGCAAACCACTCCAGTAACTTTGGTAAGAAAACTCCATGGATAAAAGTCCATGGCATTATCGTAAGTCAGGCATCACAGGGTGACTGAATAACAAGAAGCCCTGGGCAAGTGAGCAAATATTTACCTGAATGCTTGATTTCACACTGGCCAAGTCTTTGTCAAACTTCATATTTCTTTCATAAATTTCCTTCAAAACAAAGATCACTCTTTTTTTTTTGCATTTATGTCCTCAAAATTATTGACTCCTTTGGTTGAGAAACATTAAGACTTTATCCACCTAACCACAATGGAGGCAAAAATTAGCTCAGTACAGGCACCACTGTTTTGAAGGCTTATCCTGTATCCGGTGATTTTTGATATGATGGAGAGTTTAATAGATAATGTTGATGCTGATGATTTAGTCTCAATTCATATTGACATTGAAAGAATTCTTACTCTCTGTATTTCATGAATGCAGTATTTTATTTAGTTCCATTCTGCCTGCTTAACCAAGAATAAGCTATAACACTGGCTAAAATTCAATAAAAAATATGTTTGAAAATGAATTGCAGATTTGAACACATGATGACAGACTGAAAGTGTAGTATCTGCATTGGCCACAAGACAGGTATCTCAATTGTATAATGAATCCCTCTCTGGCCTAAAACTTTCCTTACAATGCAGTCTGTCTAAATTCTGCAATGTGTACTATGACCACTAGATGTCAAAAAAGACCAGGATATAATATTCTTCAACATTTTTTTTTTTGAACCACCAAGGGGAAGCAAAAGACTGTTACATAATTTTCAGTGACACTAAATTGGTCAAAAAACATTTATTAAAAGCCTACAACATGCCATACTGTGCTCTGGGTGCTAGGAATCCAAAGCTAAAAAGGAAACAGTCACTGCCCTCAGAAAAACTAGAGAAGTATGTTGAGGTTCTGAGGCAGAGGGATGAAAATATGGTAGGAGAGAGAAAGAAAAGAAGGGAACTGTATCTACTGGATTTGTCTCTCCTACTTCCCTCCTATTATCTCTGTAGCATAAAATCACCCTTTCTCACACATACTCTCCCATACACACAAACACACACACACACACACACACACACACACACACACTCACAGTGGAAGAGGTACACACTTTGTCTCAGTCACTCAGAACTCTGTGCCTTCTCGGAGTCCTCACTGTACTGATCTGCCATGCAGCTGAGGACTTAGTCCCAGTGTCTTCTAGAAACTTGAGTCTCTGATGGGTATACTCTGTCACCAAAAGAGGACATAGGAGAATGACTCTTGTTCAGCAGCTACCTCTTGTAATGAAGGGTACAGATATTGTCAAAGACCTTTCATGTCTTTGACCAATTCTCTTTCCACCCAAACCCACACTTCCAGATGATATAGGAACTTCAGCATTTGATAATCCACTCCTACCTCCAACAGCAGTGTCAACTTTCCTGACAAGCACACAGGCTGACAAGGCTCAAAACACAAATAGTTTTTTTTTTGAAAAGTAAATGAATGAATGAATGAATGAAAAGCACTGGTAAGTGCTTACTATTTGTCAAGAACCATGCTAAAAACTGCCATCACAAATAGATAGAGTCTGTGCTCTCAGGGAGCTCTCACTCTAATTTGGGGCAACAATGATCATAGGAAGAGTCACCTGCAGGGTGAATAGAAAGGCCTGAGTCACTAAGGGTGCCAGTGGCTGGGCAAAGGACAAGGCCCAAGCCTCTCTAGAACACATCAGAGAACCTGCCTTGCAGAATTGGGAGTCTTGAGGTCAGAATGGACCAGGGACTCAGGGTTCCCTCCAGCAAGGCTGGGGCATGGAAGCCTTGTCAGAGAGGTTGGAGCATGGCAGCCTGGTGGGCACCAGCTCATATACAGTTAATACAAATGAACAATTACTACCAGTGAGCTATTTCCACTCTTCCTCCCCATTACACCCCCTGCTATAAATTCAATAGTCTCCATAACTTAACAGTACTGTTGTATGTAGGGCTTTAGAAGGTGATGGCAGGTGTTACTTCCCAACACTGGCCCTTCCATCCACAGCCTGTTTCAGTGGAGGATGGCTTGCTTCCTGCAATAAAACAAAATGAAAAGAATGAAAAAATAGAAGAAAACATGAAAAATATCATCAGAAAAAAAATTGGACTGGAAAATAGATAGAGGAGAGACAATTTAAGGGTTAATGGACTACCTGAAATCCATGATCAAAGAAAGAGCCTAGGCATTGTTTTAAGAAATTACACAAGAAAATTTCCCTGATATCTTAGATGCAGACTGTAAAATTTAAAAAAAAATTGAAAAAAAAATCCACCAATCACCTCCTTAAAGAGATCCCAAAATGAGGACTGCCAGGAATTATTATAGCCAAAATGCAGAGTTCCCAGGTGAAGGAGAAAATTTTACAAGCAGTCACAAATAAATGAATCAAATATTGTGGAACCACTGTCAGGATCACACAAAAATTAGAGGCTTCCATAATAAAGGATTAGGGAGCTTGTAATATGATATTTGAGAGGGCAAATACCTAGGATTACAAAGAAGAATAAACTACACAGCAAAACTGAGTATGACCATTCAGAGGAGAAAATGGACATTTGATGAAAGAGAGAAATTTTAAGCATGCCTAATCACAAGACTCCAGGGAAGCATAAAAACATAAACAACATAGAGAAATCATATGGGACTCAATACGATTAAATTGATCACATTCCCATATGTGAAGATGATACATGTAACTCATCAGTTTGAATGAGTCTACATAGAGGCTGGGAGTGAGAGTTAATTATGTTGGAGTGATCTCAGATAAAATAAAGTGAGAAAGAAGGAACCACTGGGAGAAGGGGAAAGGCAGAGATAGAATGGGAAATTTTTTTCTCACATAAAAGAGGCATGCAAGAAAGAGCTTTAACACTGGTGGGGGAAATGGGAGGGTAGTTAGTGGGCTATGCTTCAACCTCACTCTCATCAGATCTGGTGAAGGGGAAGAGGGAAGAATATACATACTCAGTTATATATAGACATCTATCTTATTCAATAGGGAATAATAGGAGAAAGGGATAATAGAAAGGGGATGGAACCTCACAAGAGGAAGAGCAGATTAAGGGAGGTGGTGGTTAAAAGAAAAATAGACCTTTGAGAAGGGAGAGGAGAGAGAGAGAGAGAGAGAGAGAGAGAGAGAGAGAGAGAGAGAGAGAGAGAGAGAGAGAGAGAGAAAGAGAAAGAGAAAAAGGAGGAGGAGGAGGAAATACATGATGCATGGGATGGAGGGAAATACGTGTGAGTAATCATAACTAAAAATTTGAAAAGGATGACCTCACCCATAAAACAGAAGTAGGTAGCAGGATGGATTAGAAACCAGAATCTAACAATATGTTGTTTACAAGAAACACAGCTGACACAGAAAGACACACACACAGAGTTAAAATAAAGGACTGGAGCATAATCTGTTGCATTTCAAGTGAAGGAAAAAGACAGTGATGTCAGACTGAAGCAAAAATAGACATAATTAAAAGAGATAGGGAAACTACAATTTTACTAAAAGGTACCACACTTAATAAAGTAATGTAATTTTTTTTACAATGTTTCTCTGATAAATATCTTCTACCACGAATATATCAGGAACCTAGTAAAAATTATAAAAATAAGAGCTATTCCCCAATTGATCAGTAGTCAAGGGATATGAACTGGGAGCAGTCAGAAGAAGAAATCAAAGCTATATATAATCATGTGAAAGAATGTTCTAAATCACTAATTTTTAGAGAAATGCAAATAAAAAAAATCTGAGGTACCACCTTACATCTATCAGAAATAACAAATACTGGAAGGGATGAGGGGGAATAAGTACACTAATGAATTGTTGGTAGAGTTGTCTGCAGGTCCCACCACTCTGGAGAACAATTTGGAATTATGTCCCAAAAGCCATAAAACTGTATACATTTTGACCCACTAATATCACTGCCAGGTCTGTATCCTAAAGAGATCAAGGGAAAAGGGAAAGGATCTATACATATTAAAGTATTTATAGTAGCTATTTTAGTGGTGGCAAAGAATTGGAAATTGAGGGGAAGCTTCCCAACAGGGTAACGCCTGGAGATGTTGTGGCATATGGTTGTGATGGAGTCCTATTGTGCTATAAAAAATGATCGGGGGGGGGTAGCTTGAGAAAAACATGGGAAGACCTATATGAACTCTTGCAAATTGAGATGACCAGAAACAGGAGATCATTTTGCACAGTAACAGCAATGTTGTAATGATAATCAACTGGGAAGAACTTAGCTGCTTTACTGCTTTGATCTATACAATGACCAAAATAATTCCAAAGGACTTGTGATAAAAAAAAAAATGTTATTCTCAACCAAAGATAGAACTGATGAGCTCTGAATGTAAACTGAAGTATTGTTTTTTACATACTTTATTTTTCTTGCTTTTTTGATATGGCTAATATGGAAATAGGCTTTCATGATTTCATATTTGTGATTGATATCATATTGCTTACCTCTCAGTGGGTAGAAGAGGGGCAAGGAGGGATAAAATTTGGAACTGAAAATTTAAAAGAAAAACAATGTTTATAATAAATAAATAACAACTCTATATTTTTAATTAATGCAATAAAAAAAGAAGATGGAAGGAAACAATGCCCACACTACATTCTCTATAGGGATTTTGATCTTTTTGAGGATAGGTATCCAGTTTTACCATCAGGAGAAATTGTGTGGTTTTCCTTGGTTGTGTCCTACTGGAGACACAGCCTGATTGTGTGTGCTAGGAGAACAGTTGGCCAAACTGGGAGAGCCTACCAGCTTGTATTTGGCTGTAGGAAGTGAGAAGGAACCAGGAATCAAGCCTGGGCTGAGTGTAGCAGAAAGTGTTGGTGTCAGGACTGGGCTCCATGCCCTTCCTCTGTGCAGTGATTCAGATGGTTGGTTCAGAGCAGGGATTCCCTACCTTTTCAGACCCCATGCCCCTTGGCTTTTCAGTAAACCTTCCCATGCCTCTTAATGTGAAATGCAATAAATTCTATTGCATATTATCATTCTAACTAAAATAAAGTGATCAAATTTCCTTCTCCAAGGTTATACCAACACTTTTGTTACTTAATTGATGGGATGATATCATAATGTTCTGAATATTCTGTGTATCCCCTTGATAAGCTCCTTCTTGTCTCTGAGGTTAAGATGATCTCCAAGGACCTCCTCCACTTTAAATCTATGAACTTCCAAATCTCTTCCCCTACTCTCCCCCAGGGGTCTCTCTGGAGGTCACTGCCTCATTCACTAAGTTAGGGATGAGCCGCCAGACCACCTGGGACCAGCCTTTCTACCCACTCTCCAACTGAACCACTCTGCCTACAACCACCCTGCCTGGCCTGATGGACCTCTGAGCCTTGATCCCTGAGGGAATCACAATAACATCTGATTTTATGGAGAAGAGGGTTTTCCCTCTAGCACCCCCATTTCCCCCTCCTTAGTGCTATTCCTGGCCAACATTTCCCATGTAGATACATCCTCTACATCTTCACTTTATTTAAGGCTATTTACCTGTTCCTCCACTCCCTGAAGTGACAGACAGCTGAAATGTAATGGACAGAATGCTGGGATTGGAGTCAGAGGACCTGGCTTGGAATCCTGGTTCTGATTTTCTAAGGCTCTAGTAGGCTGGGTGACTATGACAATTCATTTGACCTCTGTGGGGTTCCAGAACTCTCTCATACTTTTCAAGACTAGGTCTTCAGTTGGATCACTGTGGACAGGCTGCCTTGATACCCAGAGATGACATTTCTACCCCTCTATGGTTGGGAGAGGAGTGGGTAGATTGAGAGGCTTTGAGGTCTCTTTCTATTTGGGAGAAGGGAGGGTGATCAGGCTGATATCACTGCTCTCCCTCCACGAGGCAGCTGCCCCAAAGTAGAAGAGGCTGCCTCAGAAGGAAATGACTTAGTTCTCTAGCAATGGTTGAATGCCCATGAGTCCTGAATGTTGTGCAGGGGATTGATGCTCAGGCCTAGGTTGGAATGAAGCATTTGCAGTAACCTCCAAGTCTGTGGGTTTCTGATTCTAGGACTGCAGCCCTGGCAGCTGAAGCTCCTCATTGCCCTCCCATCCCTTCCCTACTCCCCAGCTATACCACCAGCCTGGGCTGTCATTCACAGGGATTGACTTGCCCAGCCCCTGGTCCTCCACAGATTTCAAGCCTTTCACCAAGGCTGCTTCCTGCTGCCTCTCTCAATCAGTCCAGGCAATTTTCTATTCCCAGAGACTCTCAGTTAGACTTTATGCACCCTGACCAGCCCTGGTTCACACAAGAGCAGCTCTGTGGGCAGGTTTGCTGGGTAGGCTCCTTCAAACAATCTTGCTTTAGTACAGACTTTAGCATATCTAAACCAGCACGTCAATACTTACTGCTCATACCCTAGACAGACTGGGAACTTCAGAATCAACCTAGATTTGGATTGGGATATTTTTTTCCCATATTACTGAATTCAGGATCACTAGAACCCTTATTTTTGTTGGGAAGAGTTCCCAACAAAAATAATGAATAATGAAGTCCCTATACCTATACCATCCCCTATACCACTTCCTATACCCCTCAACAACTACCCACCAGGCCCTTAGGAGAACCTTTCTCCCTATTAGAAGCATTGTCCTCTTCAGTTGGTCCTTTAGCATTCTCAAAGAACTGCAGTGAATGAGTTTCTCACCTCTGCCAATAAAACTGACTTTGGAGCAAAAGAGGGGTCCAGACTGTGACTTCCTTTTTTTTCTAAGCACAGAATAGAGTATGTCTAAGTTGAAAGGGACCTTTAACAGAGAATGTCCAAACTGAGAGGAGCTTCCAGACATACAATATTAGAGAAGGAAGAGCCCTTTGAGCAGAGACAAAACTGGAGAGGCACAGAGTGAGCACATAGGATGTGGAATGTTAGACCTTGATGGGACCTTGGAACATAGAATGACAGAGGTGGAAGGGATGTAAGAGATAACTGGGGACAAATGGCCCATTTTTAATATGAAGAGACTGAGGCACAAAGCAGGATGTATTTTTTGAGGAGTGACAACCTCAAGTTATGATCCCAGGTCCTAATGAATAGTCTGGGGCTCTTTCTTTAAGAAGGTTTTTGTGGTCAGACATCACAGCCAGCTTCCTCTTCAAGAGGGGGTGAACCCCCAAGTTAGGTAACTAAGGGGATTTGTCTTTCCAGGAGGCCTTTCAGGAGAGACTGGTCCCACTGATTGTTTCTTGCAGTTATTTTTTTCTCTCTTCCACTCTCTTCATGTTTGTCTCATCCTTTCTCCAGTCAGTTGTTGATCCTAATGGGGCCTTGGCCTCCAACTGCATATCTCAGTGGGACTCTGGCATCTGATTGGTGACCTGAAGGGACATCTAGCTCCTGAATGGTGGTCTTAAAGGAATTGGCAGCAGCCTTCATTGCAATGACAAGAATTTGAGATTGGAAGAATAAACTCAATCACAGTCTCTTCTCCTCTTTCAAAATCCCAGGAGCTGCCAGACTCCCAAGGT